AAAGTCTTCTGAAGGCCTAAAATTTTAATAACAAAGGGTTTGAATGATTAAGACGTATACGATTAAAGTTGACTACTTTCATATCGCCAGAAACTTATCGACTTCTTTTGCCTTAAGTAGCAAGGAAAATGATGTGTCTCTATCAAGACTGCTTAACGGTATGAAAAGCAGTGTAAGTAAATGTCACAACAATGCTGTGCACGAGATTTTCCCGTTTCGTACTTTCCCCGGAAGACATCGTCACACAATACAATAATGCAAATTTCGATACAAGACTACGTGCACTGTAACCTAGAAAGTTGCTTGACATATTTAAACCATTTTTGAAGAAAGCGTTCGCAAGATATTGCAAACAATGTCACTCTGCGTCTCTTTATCCCTTGAGTATATATACGTTATCTGTTTACAGGACTGTGAAACAAATAGTCGATAAAACGACGGTACCATATCTGTGTAGTTTTAAACAAGTAACCGCACCACCCTTCCGATTATGACTTATTTTCAAATTTATTTTTAGGTAATATTGAATATCATTCCTAAAAACTGTTTATTAACACATAGGTTGGTTTATTTGCCGATTACTGTATCATTGGCATTTTAAATACAGTTAGATATTAGTGCTTTTCATTTGTTTGCTTTAATAAATATAATAATAAAGACACACAACATTAATAGTATTGGCAAACTTGCTCTGATACACTGTTAACTATAGGGATACTACATGTACTAGTGCTAAACATTATCCAGTGACTGGGATAGATAATACAGCCATTGATCAGTCTGTCTTGATATGTTACATATGAACATGACATTTAAAGTGTCATGAGGTAGATAACACTGATTTGTGGTTATTAGATAAGGCAAAGGAAAATAACATTATTTTTGCCCTTTACCTAAAATTAAGTAATTTACCGGTGATAACATGATGGAGAATTCACAATTAATAGAAAGTTTTCTTTCAATTTTCATTGAATTCAGTTTTCTTCAGCATGATTTTCACAAGCTCTCAAGACTGGTTCTCCAAACAAAATGCTGTGCATGACTTTAGTTCTTCTTCATCAAAGAATACAATTGGTAGATAGATGTAATATCTAACCTGCATGGTATGAGCCGATTTTCACGACGCCGTAATATTTACAGAAATGATTCCTAAATCAAGTGTTCCTACCTTTCCTTGATAAACTAAATAATAGCCAAGGTATTATCTATACCACACAACTGTAACAGCTGTCTGAACTGCTGCTTTGATGTTGGAGGTGGAACATTAAAATAACTACAAAGACGACAAAAAATACGAACAATCAGTGACAGAAATTGTCAGTTTTAGATAAGAATACGCACTTGTCAAATAATCAAAATAAAATAGGTTTTCACACTGAGTGGTTTCAGATCAATGCCGATTACGTGAGCGTGTGTGTGTCTTTTCCTTTCCTCACCTTTCGTACAGGTTTTTAATGTCACAGAAAACAAAAATGTCTTTTGGGATTCAATTTGCATTTCATTGGCAGCGTTCACGGAAATTTAACGTAACAATGTGCAATGACACCTCTTTCAGAAAAAAAGAAATATATATATATACATTTGTTTCCTTATATAGACAATCAACACATTAACATGGCAAGTAAAATCGTATGAAACCGCTAACGTTTTCCGGCCTTGTGGCCATCTTTAGGAGTTTGAATTTTGAATGTATTGATTTTCTATATATACGATACACAAAGCTTTTACCTTTTTTTAATTATATATATATAGTTATATTATATATATAGTTACGTTTTCTGCGCATTCAGAATGAATTCACTATGTTTTAACCACCGGTATTTAAAATATCCGGAAAAGAACGTTTCCTTCTCAACATTGTCTACATTGTACTTATTGTGACACAACCAGCACATATCACTTTTGTTAGGGTTTCGACAGTTTATGGGATATTAAATGACATGTTCGTTATGATTTCGCTACATCAGTGTAACAGTGTCAGATTCAGGAGGTCCGGGCTATCTATTATTAATTTGTTTACTAATTATCGTTGTCAATCAAAAATATTTCCTCAAAGTAAAAAAAAATATCCTTTTTGGCAATGTTGAATACAAGTAATGAATTTACTACATTTAATTTTTTTTTGTCCTGTTTGGAAGCAACAGTGGTGCCTGGGTCTATAAAGTGTTGATGAAGGAGATGAGGTAAAACAAACAAAGACAACTTTAAATAAATGTCAAAATTCCAGGCATGGTGGTACACTTAATTTAATCCATTTTATTTTGTTTCTGATAAGTTAGGATCCATAAAGAGAATGAATGCACATTATAAGCATGTATATTACATTGGCTAAAACACAATCTTCAACAATTTACAGTTGATTTTCCAGCGTTAGTAAAAATGAATTTGTCTTTTAACACTTTTCCATTACATTAAGGATTTAAAGATAAATTTTATTTCTCTTTTTTAATTGACATTTCGTTAACAAATCTCTCACTCTTGCCAATATCATTTTTTGTATATTACAGCGTAACATGTAAAATATCTCTAGAAACATGTCATCTTTTGTGATGAAAAGATATTGAACTCCATTTCACAATTCTGTAAAAATGTAATTAATGTCATGTCGGTAATAAGAGAACCGCGACAATGACGATGAAACAACCATTTTCACGATAGGGTATCAAGTTAAATCACAGTTTTGAAAATAAAGACATGTGAAGATTACAGTATTCACGGACAGAGAAATCAAAAAATCAAAATAGAGGGAAGTGGAAACGAAAGACGACGTTGCAAAATCACCACAGACGCACATACACCGATATATATGAAAAGTCGCGAACAAAAACTTTAAGATGCCTTTGGGTACGGATAACTCTCCACGTTTCAGAGAGATAATTGTCCATCAAAGTTATTAATGTCACCTTCCCAAATAAGAACAAGGTACAAACAACGAACCCAACAGGCAAATTAACGATCATTAATCACGTCTAAATTCATACCATACACACACAAAAAGAAATATTTTAATTGCTAATATAATGTAGATAGCATTATGCCCTTAACCGTTTAGACACTGATGTACCTTATTTCTAAAAACGGTGTATGAAATCCTTTCGTATGATCGAGTTTCAGATTAGCAATATCTTCGTCGAGTAGGGTGGTAACGTGTTCATTCAAACGATTGGCATACCAATGAGAACTAACTGTTTTAGCTTTTTTCCCTAACGAATCTGAATTTAGCAAAGATATTTTTTTTTAATTGGTATCAACACCATCAATAACATTTTGATAAATTGATGATGTCTTGTTTTCAAATAGCACAGTTACATTGACCACGTCCATGGTATATACCCATCATATAGTCGAGGTAGTAATAATCACATCTACAAAACCTACTTATATCGTTATGTTCCAACAAGCGAACCAACATAGACTTGCCAGCTTTTGATTTCAATATTTTCAGTGTACTTTATTGAAGTTTTAGAAGAAGAAAAGGGATTCATTCTAACTCTGCATAGATCAATCTGAGATAGCTATCGTTTTATGAACATGTATATCATATATGTCATTTGATATTAATAGTTACAAAAGGACCAGCATATTTTATGGTACTATGTCTGTGTGTTCAATATGAGACGATAATGTCTTTTTAACGGACAAAATACAAGTACTGACATTTCTATCCTCTTTTATTTTGTTTTCTTATAGTTTTTTCTTTTATTAATCGAATTATTTATTTTCATTTTTTTTTTATTTAATGGTTCACATTGAATCACATTGAAACGAACAAGATAATGACGTCATTGTGTTTCGGAAGGGAAGCATTATTCTACTTCATCGGTGAGTCCTGTCGTGTCAAATCTTGTTCTATCTATATATACATTATAAAGTCTTTAAATGAGAATAAGGTTAATAGCAAGGAAACTAACAGCCATACCATAGACCGTTTAACAGAACTTACTTCACATGCAAGATGAAATAGCCTAAACGATTTCATAAGATGACCACGTTTCGTACTAATCTGTATCCCTCGTATTTCTTAGAATATGCTGTAGAGCTATTTATTTCTCTTTTAAATCAATGACAGTCAATCATGTGCTATATATGATTACACAAGATGTATAATTTAACTGGCAATCTAATTCCGGAGGATGTCACGATTTTATTTCATTAACCTAAAACATATGACAATATTTTAATGATACATGTCTGTAATTTATGCGCTGGTAAGAGATTTATTAAAAAACTGGAAAAAAAGAAATTCAATATATCATTGACATCTGTCACCAGTGTGTACAACTACTGATATGTATAGATATAACTGGGATGGTCCAACTACTTCCGTGAATATTTAACTGACCAAAAGAATGTGTAAGCAACTTTTGACCGCACGCTATTGATAGACATTTACTGAGGTTAGAGAAATATAGAGAAATGTTAGCTATTTATCATCGCATGTGTCTTTTCTGATTACACGTGAAGACCTTTAAAATTAAAAACTACTTTTTTCGTTTTTCGTTTTTCTTTTTTTCGCAACACATATATTTAATTTATTAACTTATAAAAATCAATTCCAGATTAGATATAATTAACTAACTTGAATGTTTTTATTAAGTTAATAAAGCTTTGGCTAAAAGGATCCGGTGTCTATTGTTAGAAACTCGCTCAGGTGTGTATATTAACCTGTGTATTTACAATGGTGTTACAAGTTGACGGTCTAATGACGTAGACAATTTGTGTGATAAATTACCTACATCATACCTGTTAAGGAAGCGTTATGTCTATTGGCTCACCTGTGCTTACCTTTGAGACTGATGTAATTAATCAACGTGGGGTAATGTTATTACACATACGTCAGAGAGAGTGCACGTATATACCAGTCGATTGTGTGGTTTTGATTAGACCTGGATAAAACAAAACAACATATATATATAGCACTTCTGGATACATGGAGACAGTTCTAACGCAGATTTCGTCCAAAAGAGTCGTGTAGTTTTCGTTTTCGTTTGTGTACCACTATGGACTCAAAATACTATATCGTATTCATGTCTCTTCTCATAACAGTTGTTACAGGTGAGTGGGTTTTTTTATCATCCATGTCATCTTTGTCTACTTTTCTTCGTCAACATAAAATGACATTTTCCACAATTGGAACAGGTAGATCCTAATCGATATGCATTGCTAACCTCTACAGCAGATACTGCAGAGTTCGGAAGGTGATATATATGGAAGGAAACAAACGAGAAATCAATTAATAGATGTGCATTGAAAAATATCAAAAGTCCCAACGTTTAATACAGAAAAAAGTGACAAAGTTTTCCAAATACACACATTAGAAGATTAGAACAACGACATATATATGTCAACAGTCGGATGACATATTCATACTTTGAACTGAGAATGTTTTATAACCTTTATAAGACAGTAAGATCTGGTTCTGTGTTTTCACAATCCCTATAAACTACATCGATCTTTGAAAGAGCGCTTTGATGGTTGATAAATATCACACCTGATTTGAATACTTGCTATTGTTACCAGTTTATTTATGACGACCTTTATTTATGACAACGTATCACGTGATATCCCAAAAACCATTACAGTTTTCATTTTAGAAAGATGACCTTACATAATCTTACCTAACCTAGCAACAATTGTGGCCTCAGTCAAAATGAAAATGAATGCTTACTTGTCACCTGTTTTTACCTCATATAAGATGTAATTGTTTGAAGGTCCATAGTGCTTCAAACGTTAGCGCCATCACATCGTTGTAAAAATACATGTTTTGATTTTGCAAACATTAGTTAAACAAGGACTATGAGGTTTTATGATATAAAAAGACATTTGCTGTATGTCATGTTTCACCTTATGATGACCTCAGCAGGCATATATCACGTAACAGTTGCAGCATTAAGGACTTTTTACAATCGTTTCTGTGTCTGATTAAGTCAAATTTATATCAAAGGTTTGAGCCAATAGAGAATGCCAAACAATTACAGCCATTTAATTCATATTTACTGAGATGTATAAATCAACTGTCACAACTACAAAAAAGGTATAAAATCGGATTATATATATATGTATCACTTTATGTATTACATTAAACAATCTTTTTCTTTTATTGACAGGAAATAGGTTTGTTTATCACCATGTCTTCATGATTTGTGTAGATTGTTCCTACTGTTGATTATGTTGATTCACCTTTTACAAATTGTTATAACGCTGGTCATTTCCGATTTTCCAGCATGAGTCCAATCAGATTCGTAATGGATTATAATTCTAAGACATGGCAATATTTTCCACCACTTGCCTGATGTCTTGTACAAATCCCTATATGATAAAACTGTCTACACCCATCACATTGCTATATAACCAGAAGATAAAAGCAACGATGACACTATCATAAAGAAGTCGGTCCCTCTATATTGATATGTCTGAATGATGTTATAAGCCATTCCATATTCCGGATGTTCCTACGACTTATGCTATTTCATGGCTTAAATGTTTCTTTTATCTTTGATTTCTTTAAATGCCATCCAATTCCTAAAACAAAAAAACAAAAATCCAGACAAAAATATGATAACACTAGGACAAAATATAAGCAAAAGAAAGATTTGCGCTGATAATACTGAAAGGTACAAGCATAAGACCAGGTGTTAGGCAACAGTAAGCGTCTTTTGTTTCATTGACGACATCCGCCATGTTGATTTTAGTTAGTAATGCCACGTTCTAAAATGAGAACGTTGTAAACAGCAACAGAACCATAAGGGGAGCTTACAAGCCTAAAACACAATGTGTTTCGTATATTATGTTACGTAACTTTTGATGTACAACATTCTAAAATTTCATCCACCTGCATCTTTTGAAACTAAGTGTAACGAGTTTGAAAAACTACTTAAACGGAAATCATGACAACGGAAAAGGACCTTGACTATTGATTCAACTACAACATTGAAACACCATAGGATACTGGGGTGTTGCTATGAAACAAACAACTTACAACAAGGAATGTAATGCCAAGCTCTCAAATGAGAAAAAAATATTGAAATTGTAATACAAAACGGAGCTACGCTTTCGTAAAAACCATTAATAGTCTCTACTTTAGCTAATTCTAAAAATCTAAACATATTTATCGAGTATCTTATAGATAAATCCCCCACGAAACCTAACGTTCTCACAGTAAATACATAGCATACTAAAGCTAGGATGTTTCAGTGGCGATATCGCTGGTATATTTAAAATACTTTCTGAAGCCTCAGAGACTAGGATTAGAGTTACGTAAACAACATTGTGTTTTAGGTTCGATGGTGACCCCCCCTCCCCCCTCCCCCCTCCCCCTCCTCCTCATTCTCTGTCTGTCTGTCTGTCTGTCTGTCTGTCTGTCTGTCTGTCTCTCTCTCTCTCTCTCTCTCTCTCTCTCTCTCTCTCTCTCTCTCTCTCTCTCTCTCTGTCTGTCTCTCTCTCTCTCTCTCTCTCTCTCTCTCTCTCTCTCTCTCTCTCTCTCTCTCTCTCTCTCTCTCTCTCTCTCTCTCTCTCTCTCTCTCTCTCTCTCTCTCTCTCTCTGTCTCTCTCATGAACAGCTTTTGGCCATTGTCTATCGATGCGTGGCATCCTCGTTTTACCTGGTGGCTGCATTACCGAACAACATACAGGGGGTCCGCCGCAAACCGTCCAGAACAATTCAGATTAACTATTTTGCCCAAGACCACGACTAAAAAAGCAAATAACGTTTGTCTGCTTCCCGGGGACGAATTGATTTGCATCTTCCTGATCACATATTCCTCTTCTACTTGAAGCTAATAACAAATCCTGTAGATTGTCGTCGCCAGTTTGTGATAAGTTTCAATATATTACATTCAACCTGAACATCTGTTTAAAATTCTACGTGTTGTTATCGCCGCCGCAATGACATCCTGTCACATTGTACTTCAATAAACATTATAGTTCTGAAATGTAATATATATCATGACCTATATAACTCATTATACAGCAATTTATTCATAACGGGGGAAAATATGAATAAACAATGACTTATTTGGTAAACAGCAGCTGTTACCAATTAAGATACAAAATGTTTAGATCTCTAAAAAAAACTTTACAGTTTAGTCATAAATTTGCTTATCTTATAACAAATTAATTACAAATGCATGTCTCATTGAGGACAAATGTGTCTTTAATCGACACCGGGACATTACATAAACCATTAGGGCTATTAAGCTATCACCGTTATCCGTATCGTTATCATTCAAAACGTAACCAAATAGTGAATAATGTTAATCACATATGATGTCTTCAATGACAAAAATTTCATAGAAATATGACATTCTTAACATTTTGGTGAAGAAATTTAATTATAGAATAAAACATAGTTTGCTAATTACTGTAAGGACACCGAAACACAGCGTGTCTACGGTTTGCGTGGCTCCTTGTAACATCACTGACTGTGTTTCAATGTGTCAAAATAACTACTATATTTCCTGAAGCATGTTTTAACCTCATAAACCAAAAATAATCCATAACGGTGCAGCTCGTGCTTCTGATTTGAAGCTACCAAATATGGATTTAACCCATAAAAATACGATGACGTCATTCAATTTTCCTTTTATTTTGCTTTTTAGGTTTTCTTACAGTTTGCGGTCAACTTTGCCTTTCACGTATATGAATTAATGGACAACTATTTAATTTGAACACTTGGCTAGTATGATATCCTTAATGAACACTGATTTTTCTGTCGCCGACTAGTGAAATGTCCTCCGTTAATTGCAAGGAGCAAACAAGATTGTACAAAGGACACACCAATATAAAGTTTCATCCTTAAGACTCGTCAGTGATACTAAAGGTCTCAATAGTATGCAAACAAGACTACACTGGGCACATGATCACTATACACGGAATATTTGGTCTTTACGAAGAATCTTTTGGTCTGACGGAAGCCGTTTTTTACCTCTTTCAGCAAACGGCAGCGTCCGCGTTTAGAAGTCGAGAAATACGGCATGCCATAAATGTGATATTGATAAGAACAAAAACATTTGTTGAGGCGGTGTTAGTAAATAATTTTCTCTAAAGTGTAAGCTTTAATTGTATGTCCTTAATAGAACTTTAAATGGACAAATGCCCGTGATCAGAGCATCCAACTTTTCATTTTTATAGTATTACGATGAAATGCATCGGTAGATTGGCCTAATCTAATTGACAACGCCAAACCACACATAGCCCACTTCGTGCGAAAACTATTCAAGAGAAGATTATTGTGACGCTCCTGAAAGTTAACCAGAAATGAACCTAGCTGAGTTTATGGTTGACTATCTCTGACAAATAGATAATACATGTAATAAAAAAAAAATGAAAAAAAAAACAACAATGACGGAAACAAAATTGATAACAAAAGCGTTGTGGAGATATCCTATATGGATATTTTCTTTATAGATCTCGTTTATAAGTTTATGTTCTTGACCAAATAACATGTTTTGGTGAGTTGATGACGTATTTGTTAATAAGAGACAGCTAACTTATTTTTAAAGTCTTCGGGAATGCCTTTTTTTTAGCGCGTCTTTTTAAAAATTATACAGCACTTCCGGTTCCGGAAATATATTTTCATATCGACAGTGGATAGTTCTGTTAGGTGTTATATATTCTGTTTCTCAGTTTTCACTGAATATTTGTCTTAACTGCAGCGAACTGGATTAGGCCCAGTCTAAGGTATGGCTGGTCTCTAACTTATGGCAAAGTGTTTTCAAAAGAGTGGTTTCATAGCCGGAAGAATAACAAGACATCTAAGTTTCCTTCCACAGTAAGATTTGTTGCGCGCTTATAACCGGACCAACAACATTGATTAATACAAAATAAAATAATGTGTTTCAAAATGGTTGTAAAATAAATAACGTTTATCTATTAATTCTAATCAGATCTATGCTATTACAATCACTAGATAAGTTTAATCCAACTGGGGTTTACTTAAACGACTGTGAGCTTATTGGGTTAATTATTGTTACAAACACAGAGCGATAGAAAGGCATAACAGGTCATAAGTTTAAGTTTTTTAAAAATGAACTTTATTCTCATATTTCATGAATTTTTTTTTATATTTTTTAAGTGTCTAAAACCGTTGAATATGTAAATATCATGACATGATATATTATTATGATACATACTTGTAAACACTAATCGATTATATATGTAAATTACTTTTGATATCAACTCCTTGTCTCTCTCCACACAATATATGCGTTGTATAATGTATGGTATGATAGATGTTAAAAATATAACTTATCCATTTTTCTGACAACTGTGAACGATATAAGTGGCTTCATCACAGATTCATAAAGTAAATAAGAAAATAAACCACTCTTGTCCTAATGTGATTCATTATTGACGCAAGCTTGTCTACTTTCCTTGACGTATGTGTAACGAGCGATCTGATTGGTTCATTTATGAATAAAATCTAACATTAATGACCAATGAGTGCTCAGATAGCCCGAGGCAGCAGGATCAGTTGTGTATATGAAAAATATACACACATACTTGTTAATATTCGTTATGTTTTGCCTATCCCTATGTATCTACGGTTCCGCAATGATTAGTATCTCATCGCTTCGTATACCAGTCAGTATAGACACACATGTTCCCTAATCGTACCTAAAACATATTCTACCGTAAAAAACCTAAAACAAGCAGTGATCACACGACAGGTTATAATGATTAACAAACATTAGGAAATACGAGAAGTTGAAAATTCCGTTCTTACTTTGAAATTAGGTTTTATAAAGTATGGGTTATCTCCCTGTAAATAGGTCATGTAGGTTTATTGTAGTGCGTGTACATCCCCACTTAAAGATGTATGACACTCATGTTTGACAAGCAGTCGAACATAACTTGGTATGAAATAAATCCCAACGTAATGTCATACACCTCTGCGGTTTGATATACACGTACTGTTGTACAGGCACCGTTTTTCTAGACGAATGACGTTTTATGTGACATTTTGTGCAGTCATTTCCGTTCCTTGGGAATTTCCCTTTGGGTGTAATGCTGAAATTTTACGGCGAAATATAACAGTATTTTGCCGAATTATCACCACAAACCACAGGTTTAAAACATTTTATTTTGATGTATGTGAATCTCTTTTCCTGAACTATAGAATCCAAAAATACAAATTTTAATCAATATCTTGCGTTTTGAAAAAAACATTTGTGAGAAATTTACAAACAATAAGCACAACACCAACAATTGTATATAAAGTTAATTCCCAACCATTTTTCCATTAAAGCACCAAGTATTGAGAAATATATTTTCGGAATATTTTCAAAAAAAGACTGATGCGATTTTTCAAAATTTGCATTTTTTTTTTTTATTTCTATGAAGATTTACGGTTGTCACATCAAAGTGAAAATCAGCATTTTGAGATCATGTTGCTGCAAACAAAGATCTCCTTAAAACTAACCAAGAAAACTTGTTATTCATAAAAAAAAAATAGCAAGAAAAATAAAGATGTGCATTTTCTTAATCACATATACTCATACACTTTAAACAATTTCACAAAAGGATCATCAGAACAAACAATTTGCGTTCGATTCCCGGAACGGATGTGTAGGTGGTCACCTGCCGTTATCCTTCCAATTTCTCGTAAGCTTACATCTGGGCTAACAAAATGTTGTTAAGTAGATAAAGTTTATTTATAGACAACAAAAAACACGGTTATACCTATTATTATTTGTCTGTGGGATGTCTGTGGTTGGTTACATCAAGATATATTATTTAAACTGGTTCCATGTACAATAGATATTCTGAAATCTATGAAAAAATAGATATGTGATTTTTTTTTGGTTTTGAAACGTCCTATATGTTCTTAGTATTTGTAACACAAGAACATCTACTCAGTATATGATTGAGAATTTCGATAAATATTAACAAGCTTTTTCCCGGAAACTGTCTCATAGATATTATCTTTAACACGTGCGTTCTCTGTTCCATATCTAAACCTTAAACTTCGTAAATGTGTATTATTCAATCAATGTATAATATTCATCACAATCAATGTGTAATATTCATTACAATCAATCATATTGTGTATCTTACGTCATAATATTTTCGTTCTTATTTTTTTCAGATTTTGTATTTTCTCAAGTTGTAAACAGTACAGGTATGTATATCTTATCACCTATTTTATTAGTATCTTATTTTATTAATAACCACTTGGTATTTTTCTATATATATATATATATATATATATATTTTAATTTTCTCCCCTCTATTTATTTTAATTCTCTTAATCCCTTTTTTCTTAATTTTTTTTCTTTTTTTTTCTTCATTTCTTTCTTCTTTTCCTTATTTTCTTTTTTTCTTAATTTCTTTTCTTTGACTCAATTTCTTTTCCCTTTTTTCTTATACCAAAATAATAATCATATAGTTCTATGAGGCACAAATTTCATGGTACTCATAATATATATGTATACATTAGTTTTTCATTTGATTCGCGGATAAATTTTCCTCAATTCCACAAATACTACAGCCCATGTAATTTGTACATGCTTATCATTTTGTGGACATATAAGTTCTTAATTTTTTAAGCAGTCACGAACTCCACTAAATCTATTCTTCATGGTGATACTTAATACATTATTTAAAATGTATTCTAGGATGCGTGTCAAGTAACTGGCGTAAACAGTGGAAATCATGCTATATGAAACACTGTGGATCCAATCCAGGAACGTGTATATCTAGTAGAGGCATACCTGAGTGCAAGTAAGTTATCTGACGTGACAAAGGGACAACTGATCCATTCAGTCAGGTCAAACAGTGAAAAGAATACTAGGAAATGCTCACGTGCTAACGAAATCATATTTCAAGCCCAATATCGACGTAATGAAGGGGAAATCGCAGCCAAAAAAAACAAAACAAAAATACATATAAAATAAAAATTAACGATAAAAGAACATCTGTAGTAAACTGAAGTGTGAACGTGAGAAAAAAATATTCATCCATCTTATAATCACTTTTATGTCAGGACAATTATCCAGGAAGTCATTATGCTGAAAATAGACTCCGGGAAAATGTGCTACAATGAAGCAGGTGTTATGACACTTTACACATTGGAATTGTTTTACAGCTAGATAGATTATATACTGCAAATATCTTCTTATCTTTGTAACATAATTCTTTGAATATATTCTTGTAATTATTACACTCGTAGGAGAGATTTCATTGGCTGTATTTTGCCAATATTTAAATGAGACATCATTCTCAGCTCATGATGGTTTCGTCAATAAAATAAGGAAATACTCTAGGAATTATTATTTATTTTATTTACTAAATGAAATATGTTTGAAGTAAAATATTTTTGTGCAATTAGCATAGTATTCGTAACTTTTTCGTTTTTCATTCAATTTTGTCTAATATTAGATAAAATGAAAATAATTATCTCCCTTTTTAACTTGCATAATGATATGAAAAGTATACTTATGCGTTATCAACCTAGATCTAATAGGCTGACTTTATCAAATTTGTTATCTTTTCTGTGTTACAGGAGGGTAAAAGACGGTTGTGGAATGTGTGTAAAGAGATGGTTTGTCGACAATCAAGAAGTCCAGTGTGAAAGGCCTACAACGAGAGGTATGTGACACTAGGATCACACTTAATACAATGAATCACCCCATCTTTCTATCCCTATGCCTAATTTCTCACCTATTCACCACTACTAACAGCTGGTATATCTGATAAGGTCATATACCTAGAGTTTGGTCCATCCTGACACTGCGTCATTGTAGTCACCAACAAACAGAAGATATAAAATTACAACACGAAAAGTCCTTTAAGGCTGAGAGGAAAGACACGTGCATGGTTATAAATGATAACTTCCCAATTGTTATCATATCAATTTAATTACTTTCAAAACAATAATGTCCTATTACGATTTACCAATGGTGATTCTCATTAAGCTGGTTAACACACCGAACTCAAAAATATACTTGGTATTGTTTTAACATGGTTTAATCCACATTAGCATTCTATTTCACAAAATAAGCAGTGTCTTATGTTCGAGATTTAAGAGCATGTAGTTATCGAAATATTAAGTAATAGCCATGTTTATTATGTACGTTTCAAATGTCCCGCAATCATTGCACAGACTGAACAGAAAAGAATGTTACATCAAAGAAAACAAAGCATTTTAACAGAATTTCTCTTAAAACACATATTAGAAGAAACTATGGTAACATAAAAATATACAAGGTTTACATATAAAAAAATTCTGAAAAAAGTGTTAGGAAAACACGACCAGGTGTTTCAAAAGAGAAAGCTTCTTTTGCTTCTATGTACTGTATATGAACTCAGGAGAGAACAAGCTTTACATTAACATAAACTAACATCATGTTTCGTTATCAGCAGAATGTCCTCCCAATGTCATATTAAGGAACTGCCAAACACGCCTTTGTGAAAACATTTGTCTGGACGACCGGTTTAGCGGGACGCGGTGTCGGTGAGTGAAATTTGATGTATATTAGCGTGTGTTTGTCTATGGTCTGGTATATGAAAAGTGTATTGTATTGTGTAAACAGAAACAAGCACCATTTTCAAAGCGTTGTTGATTCTAAAGTTCCAAAGTATTATTTCCTTATTTTTTTCGTCATTGATATTAGAACTGACCATGAAAAATCCTACTTCCAAAATGACACGCGATGTCTGTTCAAGTAGTTCTGATTTATAAAGAAACATACGCAGATAACATTACGATTAAAACACGTTTCTCTCCCTTTTCATACTTTTTCTTTGTGTTTTAGAGTGAACAGGTGTGGAGTGTGCAGTCCGGAGTATTTCGTAGACGGACAGTGGCTCATGTGTCCCTCTCAACCATGTAAGGCATATATTTGAACATTTTGATAATTCCGCCAAATATAAAATCCTTATATACAGTCATCGGTAACTACGACAACACTCTAATGAGCTAAAACCCTGGATTGTTAAATTCTTTATTGTTTTAAAGACTAGATTTTTCTAATTCTTTCTAGATGGTTGAGAATCCGATTGTTCAATTCAGATGAAAATGACTCAAATAAATGGAATGATTGACGAATGTACTTAATTCAGATGAAAATGACTCAAATAAATGGAATGATTGACGAATGTACTTAATTCAGATGAAAATGACTCAAATAAATGGAATGATTGACGAATGTACTTAATTCAATCACAAATTCATTTATAATCATCAACCTCTTTGATTCAATTAAATATTAAAACAATTTTTTTTATAATTTCAATCATAAATCATAATTTATTTGGAAGTTTACATAATCCTACAAATCTCTATTATGATTGATTTTATATCTCAAAGCAAACGTCTCTAATTTGTAAACTGACAAATCAAATATGACTCATTCGTCCAGATATCTGTTTTCTACAGGGTGTTGCCATGCCAATCACGGTGGCGATCTTGATTGGGAAATAAGCTTCAGATATTAGGGTATCTACATATATACGTCTGTTTTAGTTTCTCCGATAGCGGGAAACGATCTGCAAGGATTATCATTTTTCCATCCGGAAGTGGCGGGAGCAGTGATGACCGGAAATGAACTAACGCCCTCTATTGCAGCAGCCAATCGAGGTGTTGGTATCCCAGTCATTGCCAGAGCGGAGGAATCGACAAACTCCTTTAGGTCTGCTGGGCCTGGGGACGTGGCAGAGCCCACTGTCTGTCGAAGGGGTGTCACCGAACGGATTTGTGAAAATCTATGTGCTAATGCGCAGTGTGAAAATTATCCTGAAGCAGTTTGCAGGTACTTGAAAGTTAGATTAAGACCTATTAAGGTGTCTTTATCCTATTTATTCCTTTTCCGTCCTAACTAATTTCTATTTTGTTTTATCTCCATGACAATACACGAAGGAATTGTAATGAGAAAATATCTCATCTGATTTTATTTCGTAAGCATTAGAGTGTATACTCAGAGTTGCGAAACGAGTTTCTGAAAACTTTCTATGAAACGAGAACTTAAAGCATATTTAAGATACATTCTGATCACATAATTCAGGAATGTTACATTATGACAGATTGTATTTTAAACGCGGATGACAAGATCATACAGGGAAGCCATTTTGTTAGGTCAGATGATAACAGGCGGATGATAGGATAAAAATTATAACAAGAATTCCTAAGCCGGATTGGGATAATATGTCTGTCACCAAACCAAAACAGAAGATACAAATCAGGAGATTAATTCGTCATCAATCATTCACATATCTTATGTTGTTTTTATTTGTTGTCATTCTTATTTTTATCTTACACAGAAAATATATCCATGTATATAAGAGCGAGAAGATAATGCGATTAGTCAGTTTACACATTAAGGCACAGCAGAATATCTTTTGAATCTAATTATATTCTATCAATTTAATATTCTTGTTTTAGTATGACACTATTGAACGTTTGTTTATCATTTATCTTGATATGATTGGTCATTTATCTTAATATGATTGATCATTTATCTTAATATGATTGATCATTTATCTTAATATGATTGGTCATTTATCTTAATATGATTGGTCATTTATCTTAATATGATTGGTCATTTATCTTAATATGATTTATCATTTATCTTGATATGATTGATCATTTATCTTAATATGATTGATCATTTATCTTAATATGATTGGTCATTTATCTTAATATGATTAATCATTTATCTTAATATGATTGATCATTTATCTTAATATGATTGATCATTTATTTTAATATGATTTATCATTGATCTTGATATGATTGATCATTTATCTTAATATGATTGATCATTTATCTTAATATGATTGGTCATTTATCTTAATATGATTGATCATTTATCTTAATATGATTGATCATTTATCTTAATATGATTGATCATTTATCTTAATATGATTTATCATTTATCTAGATATATTTTATTATTCGTCTTATTATTATATATATATTATTGTGATTAAGCATTTATCTTATTTTGATATTTAATTCATTTTAGGGTCAATAACTGTGGCGGATGTAACACCGAATTTTACGTTGGAACAGAGCGGGTGAATTGTAGAGGGGAGAGTACGTATAACACCATAATCTGTAGTTATCAGTTAGTATTTGATAAAGTATAAATCTGAAAAGTCCCTGTCAGTTGGTGAATTGTAGGCCCTTAGCATCATTGACGAGTTCTAAAAGGACGAAACAGCTGTATGATGTAACATCACTGACGAGTTCTAGAAAGACGACACAGCTGTATGATGTAGCATCACTGACTAGTCCTAGAATGACGACACAGCTGTATGATGTAACATCACTGACGAGTTCTAAAAATGACGGAACAGCTGTATGATGTAGTAATCACTGACGAGTCCTAGAAGGACGAAACAGCTGTATGATGTAACATCACTGACGAGTTCTAGAAAGACGACACAGCTGTATGATGTAGCATCACTGACTAGTCCTAGAATGACGACACAGCTGTATGATGTAACACCTCTGTCGAGTCCTAAAAAGGACGGAACAGCTGTATGATGTAGTAATCACTGACGAGTCCTAGAAGGACGAAACAGCTGTTTGATGTAGTAATCACTGACGAGTCCTAGAAGGACGAAACAGCTGTTTGATGTAGTATCACTGACGAGTCCTAGAATGACGAAACAGCTGTATGATGTAACATCTCTGTCGAGTCCTAAAAAGGACAGAACAGCTGTATGATGTAGCATCACTAACGAGTCCTAGAAGGACGAAACAGCTGTATGATGTAACATCACTGACGAGTCCTAAAAATGACGGAACAGCTGTATGATGTAGTAATCACTGACGAGTTCTAGAAGGACGAAACAGCTGTATGATGTAACATCACTGACGAGTTCTAGAAAGACGACACAGCTGTATGATGTAACATCACTGACGAGTCCTAAAAAGGACGGAACAGCTGTATGATGTAGTAATCACTGACGAGTCCTAGAAGGACGAAACAGCTGTATGATGTAGTAATCACTGACGAGTCCTAGAAGGACGGAACAGCTGTATGATGTAGTAATCACTGACGAGTCCTAGAAGGACGAAACAGCTGTATGATGTAACATCACTGACGAGTCCTAGAATGACGAAACAGCTGTATGATGTAACATCTCTGTCGAGTCCTAAAAAGGACAGAACAGCTGTATGATGTAGCATCACTAACGAGTCCTAGAAGGACGAAACAGCTGTATGATGTAACATCACTGACGAGTCCTAGAAGGACGAAATAGCTGTATGATGTAACATAACTGACGAGTCCTAAACAGGACGGAACAGCTGTATGATGTAGTAATCGCTGACGAGTCCTAGAAGGACGAAACAGCTGTATGATGTAACATCACTGACGAGTCCTAAAAAGGACGGAACAGCTGTATGATGTAGTAATCACTGACGAGTCCTAGAAGGACGAAACAGCTGTATGATGTAGTATCACTGACGAGTCCTAGAATGACGAAACAGCTGTTTGATGTAGTTTACTTCATTGTTTAGTTATACTGTATCTAATGAAAACTTTTTAAATGATGGTATTCTCTTGTACAATATCTATATCTACTTTAAAGGACAGAAGGAATTATACTAGGTACATGAAACATCAGTTAGTAATTAGTTCACGTTGTCAATGATAAATAAAATGTCTATTCATTTTTTTTTTTTTTTCAGAATGTCCTCCCGGCGTTACCTACTTCCACACGTGCGATTCATGCGCCTATAACTACTGTCATAATGAACCAAAAGCAGAGTGCAGGTAAACACAGCAATATGACACAATAAAAAATCACACATCAGTGGAAATTCAACAGTTTTACAAATATATAATATATATTTAATTTAAAAGGTTGTCGTTCTCATTAATTACTTACTTTAAAATTTTTTCCTCAAAACATCGGGAATCGGAACCAATGAAAATAACAGTACTTGAAATGGTTAATAAAAAATAAATAGGACAAGCTTGGTTATAACAAATAATATTTTCATCAACAGAATGGAGGCTTGTGGGAAGTGTACATCAACTTTCTGGTATAATAATAAACTGGTTCCATGTAATGCGCTAAACATCCTTGATTGTAAGTATAAATACTCTCTTTCTCTCTCTTTCTCTCTTATTATATATCACAACGACGTAAACCATTCTGTTTCATCATAAGCGTTCCTCTTACATTGAAATCCATGCCTTTCATCTCAATAAGCATGTTTTTATAACTTTTACTACCGTCGTGTAAATATGAAACCCAGCAGCTGCATGTGTGATCTCTGCAACAGAAAAACTGTTCAAATATAAATAATAATTATATGATATTTGATGTTAAAAATGGCTGAACTGATTTCAGATTTTGAAAATACCATCGCCATAACAATACCAATTGATTTTGTCAATTACTTGCATTGAAGAAATATATTTCATCTTGTATAACTATTTTTTCTGTCTTACTTTATCACAGCATGTCCAGGAAACGCCAAACGACACGTATGTGAATACCCGGTTTGCCGTTTTGATACCTGTCCAAGAAATTCCAGCGTTAGCTGCATGTACGTATTAAATACATCCCTCTAAAACAACAACAATAAAAACAGAAACAAAAAAAGCAAAATAAAAAAATAACAAAACAAATACATCACATTATATCAATACAGTTTACATGGTTTTTTTTATATTTTGAAATGAAGACGAATGACATATAGCTGATATAATTTCGTCGGACAAAATTTTCTTAGCTGTACTTTAAACGATATCTGAAATAAAGAAATAAGTCTGTGATGAAAAATCACAGTTGTAACCTAGAAATAACAATGAATGCTGTACAGAGTATGACTTAGAAAGTATATCTAATGGTCGTTACACAGAGGTTATACTAAAAAGGTCGTAAAACAGAGGTTTTGATATCAAATGACACAGATTTATGGCTAGAAAATAATGAAACATGAATGAATGTGAAATGATGGGCAATGGTAGTTATACAGAGATACAAACATGAAGTGATAGAAATAGCTGTTACACAGAGGTATGATAAAGACTTTACATTCAGTGGTCGTTATACTGAGGTACGGTTGTTAGATTAGTGCCAAAGAGATCAAAACATAGGTATAACATAAAAATGAAAGACATTATTTGTTATACATATTGAGTATTGAATGGTAGACATAGGTGTTATAGAGAGAACAACACGAATGATAGACGATGGTCGTTATACAGAGGTACGAATGGAGAAGTCTATCCGGATACGTGAAAAGATATTACTTAGTTACGACTTGCGCGATATATAAAACAGAGCTGATTCATACACATTGTGAATAATGATGGATTTTCGTACCTCATCATCCCTCGCAATGGTTCTAGTTTTATCTTTCAGCCACCTTTGGTTTCGCCTTGTTTGAGTTATTCATTAAATAGATAAATAGATAGACCTAACACATTGTGTAGCAATAAGAAAGCAATTTAACCCAAACCCCTACAACCCTTACATCCCTACCCCGACCCCACAGCCACAACATCCCTAATTCCCAACCCCTACAGCCCCTATATCCCTATCCCCACCCCTATATCCCTACCCCCGACCACTACATTCCTACCCCACAACCCCTACATCCCCACCCTACAACCCCTATAACCCTACCCCAGAATCCCTATATACTACATCCTTTTTCCTCAACCCCTACATCCCTACCCCCATCTACACTTACATTCCTACCCCAAGTTCCCCTACATCTCTGCCCCCTCCTACACCTAAATCCCTAACCCCACAGCCTCTACATTCCTACACTACAACCCCTACATCCCCACCCCCACAACCCCTACATCTCTACCCCCACCAACACCCGCTGTAATAATACGTCATATCTTTTTTGACAGTGTGGATAATTGTGGAGGATGTAGGCCCCGATTTATACACAAACTTACGAAGGAGACGGCAGCGTGTCCCGGATACTGGATGGATTACAATAATGGCAAAAGTCATGAAGCAACGCCTACAGAGAAAGCAAAAGCCTTAAAAGAGAGAAGAAGACATTTAAATGAATCACAGGTAGTGCCAGGAAACACGGGAACAACAACAGAGGAAATAGTAAATCCCTTACCAGATTCAGCATCAACACCTCCAAGACAACCTCAAAATCGTCCAGGTTTCGTAGACCAAATGACCGGATTGAGTCCTTTACAGAGAGATCCAATGGGTAATTTCATTTCTTCCAATATAGATTCTTTGGCATTGGGCCCACTCCCACAGCCGAGTGTAACAAATTCTGGTCAATCGCCAGATTTGTTGAATGCCTTGCAGATAGCGAGAGCAGAGCGCCCATCAGGTCTACCTTCCGGTCCATCACCAAGACCAACTAGGCGACGACCATCCAGTCCTCAGCCTCAAAATGGAAGCCCATCTTCGGACCAGTCTCAGCGGAGACAGCCATCCAGTCCATTTAGGGGAATGAATCGCAGGAGACCCTCCGACCAATCACGTCAGTCATCCCCGGTAGAAAGTGGACGCTCATCCGACAATGACCGTTCGTCCTCTCCGTTTAGAGGAATCAACCGACGAAGAACCTCATCCTCTGGATCGCCAAGACCATCGAGACGTAGAGAGTCGACACGAAGTGGCTCTTCTTCCAGTATTTTTAGAGGAATGAATCGTCGGAGAACATCCTCAGAATCACAAGGGCGGCAATTTGATGCAGCTCTACCAATTCCTAATAGCCAGGCCGCGGAGGCTCAGAGGATTCTTCCATTGGTGAATAACGCTCCTACAAACTCTTTTATTATTAGGACAGAACAAGTACCTGTTGTCAACAGCGGATCGACTGGTTCAGTACCAGTTTTACAAAGAAATGAGGCAGATCCATCTAGTTCAATACAAGATCCAAGTGTTCCTATTCAGCAATCACAAGACTCTCGACAAGGAAACGCACAGGCCATTGCTGAAATAGACAAAATTATTCTTAATCTTGACAAGGCGCTACGAAAAGCTCATCCTCCCATGAATCGTGTCTCATCAACAGGTAGCAGACAAACACAAACAATCAATAGCCCTTTGTCGTCAGAAGCGGTGCGTCCAAAACCATCTATAACATCTTCAAAGCAAAGCCCTTCTAAACCACTAGTCGCGAATAAACCAGGACAGACACCTCTCTCCTTGCATACAACAGATAAGCCATCCCTGCATAAAACGAAATCAGCAGGAAAGTCAAAACCTAAGAAAGCAGAACCTAGAACAAATGCTCATAAGAGTGTACAGAATGAGAAAAAGCCAAGCAAACCAGAGAGAAAAACAGTGCCTCTACAGTCTCTTATGTTTCCTACAGAATTCTTTACTTTGTTCCAGACTTTCGGTGGTGGCAGTTCATTTGCCATTCCAAGCAGGACCTCAGGAACGACAACTAAAAAACCTTGAATACATCAATATATATATATATATTTCACAAAGAGAATTAACAAATTCTACAAATAGTTGTTGGCTTTAATAGTTGGACGAATGCCAAAACCGTCGTCCTGTTTTTAGCTTTCATTGTCAGAAAACTTACATAAACCCTGATGTCCTGTGATATATCTAAGTATAAACATCAAGCAATAACGGTGCTAGATAGATACCGCTCTTGATGACGTCATTTTAAACATTATTCTTTAAGATACCAAATAACATTAATTCCATTTCTAAAGTTGGAAATATATATTCATTTTCTTATAACATATGGGAGTTACGAAATATCTTAATTTCATCAAGGAAATTGTATATTTTTGGGTTTTTTTTTTTTTTTCAATTAACAAGGAGGTAACTTTCGATTTACTGCCTGAAATGTAACACGTTTACTTGTACGAGGATATAGCGTTAAAAAGGCACTAGTAACTGCTCCGTTATTACACCTAAATCGGTTTTATTGAATCTATAGAAAAACATTTTCCTAGTAATCAGCTTAACAGGCAGCTGACTTAAAATGTTTTGTCACCATGCAATAAGGCATGACGTCAAAATTGGCACTTACAAAAATAGTGTAATATAATTATTATGTATGTTTCATTTATGCACTTGGCATAAAATAGTATGTTTTACCATATGAATGTCTCTCAGCACTTGTGAAAACTCATCTTTTTTCAATTTTCATGATTACTTAAATAGACATTTTAGTCATGCCATTGTGAAATAGATTAAATCTTAGTACCCTATCTCTGCGAATACATTTCACGAGGTTAATGTTAGTTAGTTACAGCCGAAGGATGCGTTCCAAAACTTACATGAAAGAGATGCATGGTTTAACAGACCTTACTTAATCATACAAATTGGATGATGAAATATTGAGGCATGGCCCTACATCCGTTTGGCATTCATTGACATATGACTGCGAACTTGATAAGATAATATTAAATTAAACACGTTAGCGCTTGATGGATGTATATTATGTGGAATCTATATAACTCCAGTTGACATTCATAGTACATGAATGCCAACTGAAAACATTCCAATGTTTATATTTATCATTTTCAATGTTCACATATGGGAAGACAACTTTAATCTGTTTTCATTGTTGTAATATACCTACAGTTCAGCTGGTAGTACACAAATGATGTTGGCAAGGTTCCATCGTAGCAATATCATACAATGGTAACACTTTCTAACAGAAAAAGATGTTTGTCAAAAACAACAGGTTATACACCATATTGGCAAGTATGACAGAAATAGTTGTCGATAATATTTCAGATAAGCAAAACACATCTCTGAGGTGATCACCTCACTTCCTTGAAACATAATAATTCATTGTGGAGCAGACTCCGTTTTCTTAATCCAATTGCGATTCTAATTAGTTGTGTTTAAATAATTGTTATAGATATTTGTAATAGTCCTACAAATATCAATATTTATGTCAATGTTCTTTTTCGATGGTTCAAATTTCTGTAGTGTTCCAAAAGATTTAAACGAAAAGGTGCATATTTCGCGGAAGTCAGAAAACGTAGTTAGTTTTCCTTTTTAAATTTGTTTTCATTTCCCCATCTCATCCCGGAAAAATAAAAGAAAGCATGAATTCCTCAGAAATACGATATTTTTATTTGATTGATTTTACACTTATGCTACTAGACGTGTTTAAGTACATAGTACATACGTTTACAATATTCACACATACAATGTTAAGTGTGTTGTGCTGACGAGTCAGTAAATGCAGCGTGTTCCGAACATGCCACATAAGAATATTTCTACCTTTATATATAAAACCTGGTTAAAATGCCATGATATCTAATATATCGCGACAACATGAAATCCTTTTTTCAGTGTTCTCTGTTCGATTTCAGGTATACACGATGTTCCATCTGTTCCATGATGTTTCCGGTTAAATTGTGTGTTAATACTACAGAAAAATACTAAAAAAAATTATTTTCAAATCTGATATATTCAGGTCTTTCTTCGCTTTTGAAATGATCTAAAACATCGTCAATTCTCTTAATTTGTTTTCGTTTTTTAATATGTATATGACATACACTGTCATTTATGATATCGCTATATTTTAAAGCTTGCGTTTCATATGATCATATATCTATTTAGAATGTTTTCCCTCCCACTCATAAATTCTGCCTCAGATTTCAGATAACCAGTTCACGTGATAAAAAGTGAGATATTTATCAGTTGACGATCATGTTTTAAGAAAAAAATTATCACTTCCTAGAAATAGGAAATAAAATCCTGAAATAGCTTCTAACATTATAACGTCTTTCTAATATCGTTATCGTAATTTTCATATCATTTAATGATTGCTTATTTTCCCGCATATTTTGTTGTACTTTCGTTTAATCATTTTTCGTTTTTGCTTGTTTACTTAGTCATTTTACTTAAATAAACCCAATAACATCATATTTTGAAATGTTTTTTTAATGGAAACAAGAAAAATTCAAGCGATGCCTGCTTTTGAATCGATTATCGTTGTATTTAAGCTCTCCAAAATACACAAGTTATAATCCCCTTAACCCAACCCCCTCCCACCTCTCCTCTATGTAGCTTACAACCTCTTAAAAAACTATTTACTTTCGCCTTGAGTTATTTTCGACCTAAACACATAAACATAATTTCAGCATTGAATCATTTTCCCTTTGTCAGCAAAAAGGGTGAAATGAGCGAAAGTTGAAATGTTTTCCTGTAACCAATGTGTTCTGATTATTGATAAAATGTTTGTGTTATGTTGTATCGTTTTTAATTAGCTGGGTATTCGTGCAATGTTGATGTGTGTAGATATCCTTGTGTTTGATAGATTCATGTCCCGCTTTTGAATTTACACTTCACTCTAAAAGTTCCTCAAACTTTTTATTTTCAAACGATTTTTTCACATTTTGTTATTTTTCATATTTTTTCACGATAATGAAGCGCGGATCACTATTTTTTTCTTTTTTTTTTTTTAGTTTTAGTGATATTTCAGGTCAGAAAATGTTGCAACGATGCGTTAATTACAAGGAAATACAGTTCTTGACCACGAAATATCTTGAATATTTATGAAACTTTAGATATTACCTTAAGTGCTATTTATGAAATAAAATCTGCTTTGCTGTATAATTTGCTTCTTCATCTCATACCATGTTTATATGTCATTTCATAATATGTTGTATTTTCATAGTTCAGTCACATATTTGAATAAAACAAATGCATATTTTGCAGAATGTATCATGCGTTAATATCATTCTTTCAGATGTGAAGAGTTAAATTAGATATTAAATACATATCTTAAAGGTGCAGTTAGTATGAAAAAATATAATCATATAAGATAATGGATGAATGAATATGAGATGTCGGTGCTTAAGCTAAAGCTTCGTAGGAGAAATCCAAGATACAGTTAGCAATTGTCTGTTGATGAGCACCAGATGACTTATATGGTATTGCCGATACATAAATGTATAAGAGTTTCTGCTGAGTAAGAGACGCTTTTTCTTTTGGGGAGAAGGAGGGGTGGGGGAGAAAGTTGTGTGAAAAAAATTCATGTTTGAAAGAATTCCAGAAATAAGTCGTATATATTATACTTACGAAATATGTTTCTAATATCTGTTATCTGTGTTTTATAGGTTTTCCTATTTGACAAGTCCTAAAACATACATGTAAAAGGTTTATTGACAGTAAAGTGTATGTTCTGTCTACATATAGTGTCAAAAATACGAATTTTGGATACATCAACCTCGACATATATTGAGGTAGGGTCTAACAAGTTAACAAGGTCCCGTGTGATGGGGAAAACTTTACATCAGTTTAGAATGTGCCGTTTCAATAAGAGAAAACTGAGTTGGTAAAACCACAACAAAGATGGCGTCAAGACAATATAATCGACTTGTTTAACTTCGAACCTGTAATTGGTGCAGCAAAAGGGTTAAGGGCAAAACCTTGACAACCTGGCTTTTTCAGAATCTCACTGATGTCTTGAGAGCTAAGCCTAATATCATTTCGAAAGAAATTGGCGTGTTTTACACACATTCCCTGTCCAGAGTCATCTTCCATATAAGGTTCACGTCCCTTAAACTAGACCTGGACGAGTTGCATTTGAATCGTGTAACAGATATTATGAAATTGTCAATACGAAAAAAAAATATATATATCTGGACAGGTAACGATGACGTCATCAATAGCAAGCCTATACCTTGCACACCACACGTCATTATTAACTCATTGATAAAAATGTATATTATCCAGGCGAGATAATGATTCCCTGACACGTACCTTGGCCATCTTGGATCCAATCAGAAGCGATATCCTGGTGCAGGACAGCACTGAGCAGATTTCAATACCGAGAATAAAAAATGTACTTTGGGTTAAAACCGATGCTGGAGCGTTTATAGAATGAGTCATAGTGTCTTAGCAGTCAAATGCTTTAGTGACATCAAGTAAAAGTGCTCTACCCTGTGGAACATGTTGAGCACGTACTGGTGTTCATCAACAGCCAGATTTATATCACTTGTCGTAATTCTATGTATTATATCTCAAACAATCGAGCTATCTTATAACTACAACGTTGTGTTGTTTTGAAATTAAACGACCATAAATTATATTTTTATTATTTAGTTGTTTTTTCTTCGCAGCTTTAATTACATTTTTTTCCTGATTTAAGGACCGAAAATTTGGGGAAGAGCCATCACAGACGATTCGCAAGTTAATGTCTAGCTTGTGATGATATGACAAGTAAATTAGTTGGTGAACATGAAATACACAGAGTACATCTTTTTAAATACAGAATCCAGTCATTCCTGGTAATAGAATGAAAATATTTAGGCGGTGGAATATATATAGCGTACTTTTTTTCTTTAAAATTTGTTTAAATTACCAACAGCAAACCCTTTTTTCAATCAAGCATTTCTTGAAATATTCTGTGTAAGCTACAGCACAGCTGTAATCAGCTAGCAGAACGCCACATTACGTAAACGAAGCTGGAATGATGCATTGATGCTCATTTAAAATGTGAGTCTTTCATCACTGTGATGTAGTGTTAAGTAGGTAATGTGTATTAATACATGATAAACTTGTTTGAACCCGAATATATCTGCATAAATAATAAAATGTATCGTCGCTCATCAATCAAACACCATTTGGTATATAACATCCTAAACATTTAACTTTGTTGTTTATACTGATGTATGCCGTTTGAAAGTTATACATTATAATATTATATTGGTACGAGTCCGCGTTCTGTTAGACTATAATTTAGGTCATTATCATCACTGATGAGTCAAAGGAAAATTGTTTGTCTCTATTCTGTCTAATTCTAGTGTTGTATTAAATATTGCAATTCACTTGTATGTCTTTTGTACAAGCTTTTCTATGGAAACGAGGAAAAGGGTTACGTCTCGAAAATAAAAGAAAATAAAAACATGAAAAATCAAGGAAGAATTCACATGAGATTTAAAAGTGAAGGAATGGAAACAAAGATGGACACCAGATAGCATTAAATATATGAATTGGAAACAACAAAAATGTGGGGATCAAACATCGAGAAGGTTTCTTATAGAAACAGGTTTCTGTTGCAGCTAATCAGATTTCCCACCATAGTTGAGATTTGATCAAAGATTCTGCTCTCGGGGGATTTGAATTTGTTACTTGGAGACAGATGAAAGGAATCGACTTCATGAAAGTATTTAGTTTTAACACATTTCAATACTTGTTGGGTGGATTTAGAAAGCTGTAACATTTATGCTTTTCCCCTCTTAGTGGGTGATTAGTTTCACTTGTATATTTCCGGTTATTGACATGTGAAGACAGCTGTCATATGTGTTGAACTTTCAATGTAAAATGAGTTTAACTTAAATGCTAAGTAATAATGTAGAGTGATTTATTCTGGTGCATGACTCCTAAAGAGTAGAATAGATATAACACAATTTGAATTTGGATTATAAAAAAGGAAGAAAAACAAAACGAACAAAAAAAAGATAAATAGAAAAGAACAAAAAAAAAAAATAAATAAATACAAACACAAAAAACTATAAGAAGCACGTTTGTAACATAGCTGACGAAGATTACTGTCGAGTGCAGTTACATCGTAAAAAACAAAACATACGAGAAACACATCTGGTGTTACCACACAGTTAACAGAACCAGAGGGAATACTCAGATTTACATAAAACATGATCAAAAGTCAGATGAAGTGGTCCGGAAGCGTTTTTTGTTTTAGAATGAGAAACAAGGATGGTGTATTTATCCCTGGGGACTCTAGAGCTTTACATCGTATATCATTCCATGATATCTGTAACAGATGTACGTATGGTTAGTAATATTGTACAAAAGACACATAATCGAATAGCGCATTTTAATACATTAGAGTCAGATACAGAAAAGCAAAACAAAGAATCGAATTGCATAATTTTAATGTTTCAGTCATAGGTAAGATTAAAGGGAAATAACTCATAACATAAAATCTCTCCCTAAGATATACACTACCACACTGACATAAAATCTCTCCCTAACATATACACAATCACACCGACATAAAATCTCTCCCTAACATATACACTATCACACCGACATAAAATCTCTCCCTGATATACACTATCACACTGACATAAAATCTCTCCCTAACATATACACTATCACACCGACATAAAATCTCTCCCTAAGATATACACTATCACACCGACATAAAATCTCTCCCTAACATATACACTATCACACTGACATAAAATCTCTCCCTAAGATATACACTATCACACTGACATAAAATCTCTCCCTAAGATATACACTACCACACTGACATAAAATCTCTCCCTAACATATACACAATCACACTGACATAAAATCTCTCCCTAAGATATACACTATCACACTGACATCAAATCTCTCCCTAACATATACACTACCACACCGACATAAAATCTCTCCCTAAAATATACACTATCACACTGACATAAAATCTCTCCCTAAAATATACACTATCACACCGACATAAAATCTCTCCCTAAGATATACACTATCACACTGACATAAAATCTCTCCCTGATATACACTATCACACCGACATAAAATCTCTCCCTAAGATATACACTATCACACCGACATAAAATCTCTCCCTAAGATATACACTATCACACCGAAAATCTCTCCCTAACATATACACTACACAACATCTCTCCCTAACACTATCACACCGACATAAAATCTCTCCCTAAGATATACACTATCACACTGACATCAAATCTCTCCCTAACATATACACTATCACACTCACACTGATTTTCAAATTTGGTAAAATCTCTCCTGCATTTTAGATCAGATATACACTATTTTGTTGTATATTTCACACGACAAAATTTTACATGCATGATGTTGTTAAACATTGCAAGGTTAAAAAGAAATAAAATATGGTATAAATGAAGCGGGAAGCTGGCAGTCCAAATTTAATGTCATACGATGTAGACCAATAGGTAAGTACGAGGCCCTCGTATACCTGTTAATTCCATATAATCAGTGAAATAATGGCGACCTTGTCACAATTTAAAACGTTGAGTTTGCTTTGAAACTTGTGTGTATACGGTCGGTACACGTGTTTATATTTCAGCATCCGTGGTCTCGGATTGATTTTGTCCATTTTTCCGATATTGTCAACTTTTTAAATCTTAATCTTCAGCTTCTTAACCTCCCTAGAGTTTCTGTGAATTAAATAACTAATTGAAACCACACAGGACATTCACATGAAGGGGATATCTTATCAACGTTGTTTAGATTCCGTGTCAAGAGGGACAACTCTGTTTTTATCAATAATGCACATTAAGGGGATATTTTCTCAATGTTGTATACTTAGATTCCGTGTCAAGAGGGATAACTCTGTTTTTATCAATTATGCACATTAAGGGGATATTTTCTCAATGTTGTATGCTTAGATTCCGTGTCAAGGGGGATAACTCTGTTTTCTATCAATTATGCACATCAAGGGGATATTTTCACAGCGTTGTATGCTTAGATTCCTTGTCAAGAGGGATAACTCTGATTTACTAATAGTTTTACTTTACGTTGTCAATTAAAGGTAAGATCGCTCTGTTGGACATACTAATCCGATAATTCTTATGTTGTTGGATGCAGTTCAGTATTCATATTAATGATTTATATAAACTTGCTTCATCTTAAAACCTTCCAACATAAAAAACGTTTTTTCCCTTACTTTTTATCTTTTTTTTTAATGTTATGCTGGCATAATGCAACACCCGACGTGGAAAATTACTCTCTTTGTATACATATCAGCACAATAACGGTGTATTACGGTTAAAAACTGGATGGAAAGTAACCGAATATAAAGGAGGGAATGAAAGAATGAAGAAAGGAAGGAAGGAAGGGGAGGGAGGAAAAAGGAAGGAAAACAGGAAGGAAGGAAGGAAGGAAGGAAGGAAGGGAGGGAGGGGAGGGAGGAAGGAAGGAAGGAAGGGTGGAAATAAGGAACAAAGGAATTAAGAAGGGAAGTATTATTATTACTATCATTATTACATTCTTAACGGCCCGTCAACACATAAAAGGTCATTAGGGCCATAAAACGGTAAAACACACAGCGATCCAAAAGGAAATAGCATTAAACAAACCAATAGGTGAAGACAAATGTTAAAATTCTTAAATGGGTATGTTAACACAAAAGATTAAAATAGTACGTCATAGTCTATTATATTATACAACATCTTTCAGGTAATGTAGAATTTTAGAAATCTCAACAATTTCAAAGTGGGATTTTAGACATGTAATGTTACTATAAAAACGTTCTCCAGTAGACAGAAGGTCAATGCAGTCCAATAAAAATGTTTAACGGTGAATGACTCATCACATCCTATGTACCAAGGATTATCTTCGCCTTTCAAACTATATGAATGTGTAAGGTATGTATGACCCATCCGAAGATCAATATTTGTGTTTTGTAAAAGAGCGGAAATTCGAATACCAAATGATGGAATGGTTTTTGGTTTGCCTTGAAACATTGTTTTATCTTTTGGATCAAATACAAGGGGAAAAGCAAGATTTGAAGTGATGGTTTGTTAGTCTCTACATAGAGGCTTGCTGTAGGTGTGGTCTTAAAAGCCCCAAGAGCGAGTCCGAGACCTTCGTGATGAACAGTGTCTAATAATTTTAAGTATGAAGGTCTAGCAGATCCATACACGATGGAACCGTAGTCTAGTTTTAATCTAATAAGGGCTCTATAGAGTCTAAGCAAAAGGAAGGAAGAAAGGGAAAAAAATGAAGGAAGGAGGAAGGAAGGAAGAGGAGGAAGGAATTTAGGAAGGAAGGAAGTAAAGAAGAAAGGGTAGGGAGGTAAAAAGGAAGGAAAGCAGGAAGGAAGGAAGGAAGAAAGAAAGAAAGAAAGAAAGAAAGAAAGAAAGGAGGAAGAAATTAAGGAAAGTAATTGAACATAAATTACATATAAATGATTTGTTGAATTAATACTAAAAGGATGAATGAAGAATGGGGAATGGGATACCTCCTGCGTGAGGACAGTTTTATTTGTGACGGAAGACAGGGTCTCAACCGTCGTCGAAATAACAAATATAGTAGGTATAATTAGTTAACCATTAATCGCAAAAAGAAGTATCGGGTATATTGTACATGTGTATGTTGTAATGTAACAGTGCTGCAACATCATACAACTGCTTCGTCCTTCTAGGATTCGTCAGTTATGTTACATCATACAGCTGTTTCGTCATTCTAGGATTCGTCAGTGATGCTACATCATACAGCTGTTTCGTCCTTCTTGGACTCGTCAGTGATGCTACATCATACAGCTGTTTCGTCCTTCTAGGACTCGTCACGGATGCTACATCATACAGCTGTTTCGTCCTTCTAGGACTCGTCAGGGATGCTACATCATACAGCTGTTTCGTCCTTCTAGAACTCGTCAGGGATGCTACATCATACAGCTGTTTCGTCCTTCTAGAACTCGTCAGGGATGCTACATCATACAGCTGTTTCGTCCTTCTAGGACTCGTCACGGATGGTACATCATACAGCTGTTTCGTCCTTCTAGAACTCGTCAGGGATGCTATACCATACAGCTGTTTCGTCCTTCTAGGACTGAAGTGGACAAAAGGCAATTATAATAGGTCAGTCACTATGTTACTTTTTCTCAAATACCTAAAAGGTTATCAGATAAGGAAATGACATGTATAAACTATGGGCGAAACAACTAAAACCTCATCACATTTACTATGTATTAGACTTGTGTTGCTGACTCAATCTACTCATCAAACAATACAATGAAAGAATATGCCAATCCATACTACTTTAAGAGGAAAAAATAATTATGGAAATGAAAATCAGCACATCACAAACTAGTGAAACGCTTTCACTGAAAGAGACTTCCAGTAAATTAAATGTATAGTATTTCAAAGCAACCAGGCTAATTGACTCGTATTCAAGTACAATAAGAAAGAAGATCTATATGTTTGTCATTAGACAATTGCTTCTCATATGAAACAGCATCTATGATATTTGGATTCCTTGGTATTTTTGTAACAAAATTGACTACTTCAATCAAGCAAAAATTATAAAATTCAACAAATAGCCTTGTCGTGGCATATGTCTAAAGAAAGAAATAGACTTAATATATACTCAACAAAAAGAGAAATGTTAACATGTTTCCTTGTCGAATAATGAGTAAATGAGTGAAAACAAAATGACGTTTGTGCAATATTAGAAAATGGTAATGTTTTACATTACAAAATCCAAGGGGGTTACCAAAATCATTCAAGCGTGAAAGTCTGTATTAGCGAAATAACTGCACGAGGTTTTCTGCGACTAACTTGTATCTTCGCTTGAATTTCATAAACATTCAAACTGACAACTGTTCCTAAGATCCTTAGGACTTTGAAATCATCGAATCTTGCTATCTATCAACTTTATCATTATGCCCCGGCTGTCACAAATACAGAGAGAAAGGGCTGTAGGCATGATCCAGGCTGGGGAGTCTCGCCGTCGAGTTGCACAGCATTTTGGTTGCAGTGTTAAGACAATTTGCAAGTTGGTAAGTCGTTTAAACCAAACTGGGTCAACATCAGATCGTCCCCGAAAACCCCGTAAAACGACCGCCAGGGATGACCGTCGTATACGATTGATACACTTGCGCAATCGACTCGTAACCGCAGTAGAGACTACAAGGACATTGTTTGGGCGTCGTGTGTCTCCCCAATAAATCAACTGAACGCAAAGTTTTACAATGAACCATGACTGCAGTTTTATCAGAATTGATCAATTACTTTATTCGTACATGATTGGTAAGGATTTATGAAGGGGTTAATTAATTAATCACAGAATAAAGAAGTGTTACCTTTCTTTTTTTGTTTAGTATATACATATATATACTCTGGTAGAAAGAATGGATCGATGACAGATATTTCACAATTGATCTTAGTTTGATTCTAGAGCACCTCAAAATTTCCACAAAACCAACTTCAATAAGATCCCTTTCAGAAGCGTTAAGATCAGGACAAAGGTTGAAAAGCACACACCATGTAAATCTCACCACACGATATTTTTTGTCTTTGAAACACCAAGAATGATATATAAATCTAATTCATTTATCGAATGGTTCCACACCAAAAATGGCCCTCCACACCATAAGAAATGTGTGCATGTTTCATCATCCTTTGTAATGTTTCTGGGGGAAAAGGTCAGAGGTTCATCACCATGAAGTACGTCTTCTCCTAGGATTTCGTTAGGTAGCTGACATATTTTTTTGAAAAAAAAAAATTAAACCGATATCAAGAAAGATTGCCATTTAATGTTAATGTGACAAATCAAAGATGGTACTTGTACTCTACCGCATTAGATATTGTAATCAATACTAAAACATACAGATAAATCGTGTGTACTAATCAATACTAATACATACAGATAAATCGTGTGTACTAATCAATACTAAAACATACAGATAAATCGTGTGTACTAATCAATACTAAAACATAAATCGTGTGTACTAATCAATACTAAAACATAAATCGTGTGTACTAATCAATACTAAAACATACAGATAAATCGTGTGTACTAATCAATACTAAAACATACAGATAAATCGTGTGTACTAATCAATACTAAAACATACAGATAAATCGTGTGTACTAATCCATACTAAAACATACAGATAAATCGTGTGTACTAATCAATACTAAAACATACAGATAAATCGTGTGTACTAATCAATACATACACATAAATCGTGTGTACTAATCAATACTAAAACATACAGATAAATCGTGTGTACTAATCAATACTAAAACATACAGATAAATCGTGTGTACTAATCAATACATACACATAAATCGTGTGTACTAATCAATACTAAAACATACAGATAAATCGTGTGTACTAATCAATACTAAAACATAAATCGTGTGTACTAATCAATACATACAGATAAATCGTGTGTACTAATCAATACATACACATAAATCGTGTGTACTAATCAATACTAAAACATACAGATAAATCGTGTGTACTAATCAATACTAAAACATACAGATAAATCGTGTGTACTAATCAATACATACACATAAATCGTGTGTACTAATCAATACTAAAACATACAGATAAATCGTGTGTACTAATCAATACTAAAACATACTAAAACATACAGATAAATCGTGTGTACTAATCAATACTAAAACATACAGATAAATCGTGTGTACTAATCAATACATACAGATAAATCGTGTGTACTAATCAATACTAAAACATACAGATAAATCGTGTGTACTAATCAATACATACAGATAAATCGTGTGTACTAATCAATACATACAGATAAATCGTGTGTACTAATCAATACTAAAACATACAGATAAATCGTGTGTACTAATCAATACTAAAACATACAGATAAATCGTGTGTACTAATCAATACTAAAACATACAGATAAATCGTGTGTACTAATCAATACTAAAACATACAGATAAATCGTGTGTACTAATCAATACTAAAACATAAATCGTGTGTACTAATCAATACTAAAACATAAATCGTGTGTACTAATCAATACTAAAACATACAGATAAATCGTGTGTACTAATCAATACTAAAACATAAATCGTGTGTACTAATCAATACTAAAACATACAGATAAATCGTGTGTACTAATCAATACATACAGATAAATCGTGTGTACTAATCAATACATACAGATAAATCGTGTGTACTAATCAATACTAAAACATACAGATAAATCGTGTGTACTAATCAATACTAAAACATACAGATAAATCGTGTGTACTAATCAATACTAAAACATAAATCGTGTGTACTAATCAATACTAAAACATAAATCGTGTGTACTAATCAATACTAAAACATAAATCGTGTGTACTAATCAATACTAAAACATACAGATAAATCGTGTGTACTAATCAATACTAAAACATAAATCGTGTGTACTAATCAATACTAAAACATAAATCGTGTGTACTAATCAATACTAAAACATAAATCGTGTGTACTAATCAATACTAAAACATAAATCGTGTGTACTAATCAATACTAAAACATAAATCGTGTGTACTAATCAATACTAAAACATAAATCGTGTGTACTAATCAATACATACAGATAAATCGTGTGTACTAATCAATACTAAACATACAGATAAATCGTGTGTACTAATCAATACTAAAACATACAGATAAATCGTGTGTACTAATCAATACTAAAACATACACATAAATCGTGTGTACTAATCAATACTAAAACATACAGATAAATCGTGTGTACTAATCAATACATACACATAAATCGTGTGTACTAATCAATACTAAAACATACAGATAAATCGTGTGTACTAATCAATACTAAAACATAAATCGTGTGTACTAATCAATACTAAAACATAAATCGTGTGTACTAATCAATACTAAAACATAAATCGTGTGTACTAATCAATACTAAAACATAAATCGTGTGTACTAATCAATACATACAGATAAATCGTGTGTACTAATCAATACTAAAACATACTGATAAATCGTGTGTACTAATCAATACTAAAACACAGATAAATCGTGTGTACTAATCAATACTAAAACATACAGATAAATCGTGTGTACTAATCAATACTAAAACATAAATCGTGTGTACTAATCAATACATACAGATAAATCGTGTGTACTAATCAATACTAAAACATACTGATAAATCGTGTGTACTAATCAATACTAAAACACAGATAAATCGTGTGTACTAATCAATACTAAAACATACTGATAAATCGTGTGTACTAATCAATACTAAAACATAAATCGTGTGTACTAATCAATACATACAGATAAATCGTGTGTACTAATCAATACTAAAACATACTGATAAATCGTGTGTACTAATCAATACATACACATAAATCGTGTGTACTAATCAATACATACAGATAAATCGTGTGTACTAATCAATACTAAAACATACAGATAAATCGTGTGTACTAATCAATACATACGTGTGTACTAATCAATACTAAAACATACAGATAAATCGTGTGTACTAATCAATACATACAGATAAATCGTGTGTACTAATC